AACCATTTTCGACTTCGCCCCAAACGAGCGCAGACAAAAAATCACTTTACACATTTTACAGCGAACGAAACCGAGCGAATGTCGCGCCAAAGCGAGATAACAATGCCCAACCAGCCAGTCAGCGACACTCACAGTGTGTGCACAAGCGAGAGGACGCTACTGAGTTGAGCGAAACCACAATCACACGCACGCCAAAGTCGAATAGCAGGCGGACGACGACGAAGGCAAATTAAGCAACTAAGGGAAAATTTTTCTTCGCTGCTATTCCGATGCACTTTATCACTAATTTAACACTGCGTTTAAACATGAAAACATGCACAGCGTATAGGGCATATGTTATCCAATAATTTTACAATAGACTCGCGTATTACCGTTGTAAATTTTCGGCCAATAAATAAAATTTTCAGCAACTATAAAATTCACAGTCTGTCATTCACAGTTTCGGATCGCCATATTATTCCCGGATATTGAATTGAACTAGTAGGCAACGTAAGAGATGAATCAGTCGGCTCCTATTGCTTACGCTACGTAATACGTAACGTAAGGGGTATGGTTTATCTGAGTTTTTTGGGATAACTAGGATAATAACTTTGAGTTTAGTTTTTTAAATTGTAAATAAATTGAACATAAAGTGCTCAAAAACGATTAAAATAACTATTTTAAAAATATACTACCATTTACAAAATGATATTTGTTTGTAAATAATTTGATTTGTTTTGTTTTTTAAAATTCTATAAAATAATATTTTTGTGTTTCTGTAATATTAGATGTATTCAATGTAAATAGCGTACTTCTCTTATATTTCTTATTTATAAATGGCTTTAGCCACTTATCGAAGTTGGCGAAATATAATGAACGCAGGTAAATTAAAAAGAAAACAATTCTTTATCGTTCGTTTTCAGGTTTATCGTAAAAAAAAAAAATGTTTTTAACCATCACTATTTTCAAGTTACGCTGCTCAATTGTTTCATGTTATCGATTGTAATCGCTAGTCCCGGCGATAGATGAACGATGCTTACACGTACATATGTATATATTTTTCCATACGCGAACTACGTGTCCACTTGCGTTGCTTGAATAAATTTAACAAAATGCATACGGTTTTAACTAGAGGAAATGCAACGGTTGCTTATTCTTTAAGCGTTTTAGCCGGCTTAACGTTCTGCTGCTTTATATCAACCGTTTTTCTGGATTATAGAACCGATGCGAATATAAAAACGGTTCGGGTGCTAGTGAAAAACGTACCCGATTACGGTGCATCTAGGCAGAAGCACGATCTGGGATATGTCACGTTCGATTTGGAGACGAATCTAACAAATATATTTAATTGGAATGTGAAGCAATTGTTTTTGTATTTAACGGCCGAATACGAAACAGCAGCGAATCAACTCAATCAGGTCGTGCTATGGGACAAAATCATTCTTCGTGGCGACAATGCAGTGCTTGACTTCAAGAACATGAACACCAAATATTACTTCTGGGACGATGGTAACGGTCTGAAGGATAACAAGAATGTTACTCTGTCGCTGTCCTGGAACATAATACCCAATGCCGGGCTACTGCCATCGGTGCGATCCACCGGCAAGCACATATTCAAATTCCCATCCGAATATGCCTCATCGATTTAGAATATTAAACCAATTTTCTTTAGACGCATTTAATACAGTTGTATTTGAATGGGCATGTACTAAAATAAAATCATTTATATTAAATAGATATATATATATGCGTCGATGTGAGCCTATGATTACAAAATGTCTTTAGAGAGAAGATCTCCAAGGGGAGAGAGAGAGACAGACTTGACAATATACAAACAAGTTTTGTTGAGGGGAAGGGGTAGACTGATACTGATACTGAACGACAATGTATATCTATCAATATATACTAAAACACACTAAAATTTTACATAAAATCATAGTTGCCATCGTCAAAGTTGCGATTGCCCACCATGGGCCCGCCGGCGCCCATCTGATTTGGCTGTCCGCCCATTTGGGGACGAAACTGATTTCCGGGCGCTTGATGCTGCAGCAGCTGCCGTAGTCCCGGATTGTTGTTGCCCAGCATGGGACGTACCATGCGCTGCTGTTGCTGTTGCGGCACCTGTTGCAGTTGCTGTTGCAGGTTGGGATTCGCCACAGGCACACCCAATGGCATGCGCTGCTGCTGCTGTTGCTGTTGCTGCTGCATCATGTTCATTTGCATCTGGGGCTGCATGGGCATGCCGCCACCTCCATTGCCCCCAGGCGCGCCGCCCATTTGCATATTGAGCTGTGCATATTGATTGTAATGTGGCTGTTGCTGCTGCGAATTGTCCTGCTGCATTTGTTGCTGCTGCTGCTGCTGCTGTTGTTGCTGCTGTTGCAGTTCCATGGGCGATTTGCCCTGCTGCTGCATCATTTGCTGCATTTGCTGTTGCGGCGGCATTTGTTGCTGCTGCTGCATATTACCGTGCGACTGCTTCTGCTGTATCACCTTGCGCAGGCGCTCCACGAACATGGTCTGATTGTTAGGTATGAAGCCAAGGAACGCATTGCGGTCGGCCGTATATAGCAGGATGAGCACTTTGATGTCGCAGGCGGGCGTATTGGGCAGCGCCGAAAAGTGAACGCAGCCAGCATAGCCGGAGGTCATCATTTTGGCCAATGAATCGAGAGCCTCGCCTGGCGCTGGGCGAAATACCACCATTTTGGAGTCCTTGAGAAACTGACCGCCAATGTTGCCCACGAGATGCTTCGGCATTAGTTGCATCAATAGCTTGGGCGGCCAATTGTCCGCTTTGATCTCAGGCTCGCCATCCTTGATGTTAGTGCAAACGGTGCACTGCAGCGAATGAGGAATCTTTTGCTGATCGTTTTTGGCCTTCTCTGCCCATTCGAGGACGCCTGTCCAGATTTTTTCACGTAACGATGATTGCTCCTGTGGCTGTTGCTGCTGTTGTTGTTGTTGCTGCTGCTGCTGTTGTTGTTGCTGCTGCTGTTGCTGTTGTTGCTGCTGCTGTTGTTGTTGCTGCTGTTGTTGCTGCTGCTGTTGCAGTTGCTGTTGCTGTGTCTGCTGCTGCTGTTGTGGCGCAGACTGCTGCTGCAGTGCTGGCACATTAGCAGCACTACTAACAGTTGGCAACATATTGGTGTTGGCATTGGGATTCACCTGCTGTTGTGGATGCTGTTGCTGCTGCTGTTGTTGTTGCTGCTGCTGTTGTTGCTGCTGCTGCTGTTGTTGTTGCTGCGCCAGTTGCTGCTGCAGCTGATTAAATTGCTGATGGTTTATCATTTGCAATCGCTGTTGTTGCTGCTGCTGTTGTTGCTGTTGCAGCTGTTGCTGCTGCAGCGAGTTTACAGTTTGATTAGGTGGCGCATTTATACGAGAAATCAATGCCGAATTGGGATTCTGGGTTTGCTGCAACGGCATATTGTTGCCCGGGGTTTGCATAAAGGCAGGACGCTGGCCGGGCTGATTGGGATACAACCAACGATTCTGACCTGGTACAACGTTTGGCTGAAAGTTTGCATTTTGCATTTGATTGGGAACAAATTGTTGTTGCTGTTGCTGTTGCTGCTGCTGCTGCTGTTGTTGTTGCAACAATTGTTGCTGCTGCTGTGGAGTCATGACACCAGGTTGCTGTTGGGACTGTTGTTGTTGCTGTTGCTGCTGCATCGCATTCATGTTCATCACTTGCTGCTGCTGTGGCCCACCGCCCGGTTGCTGCTGCTGTGCAGGCGTTGTGTCCATTGGCATGTTCAGCACCTGACCTGGCTGTTGGCCATTCGGATTATTGTTCATCACCTGCACAGCTGTTTGCTGTGCCTGTGGAGCGCCCATTTGATGTTGAGGTGCCGCCGAGCCGCCCACGGACATGCTGTTGGGACTGGGCGCTCGCTCCTTTAGACTGTAACCCTTGAGCAGCACCAAGTGCCGAATGTTCTTTGCATAGTTTTTGGTCGTTATGGGCTGGTCGCCGTCGGCCTTTATGAACAGCTTGAAGAGCACTGGCATTTTGCGGGGTGCGATGATGGATAAATTGATTTTACGCTCATTGAATAGGGCCGCCAGCTGTTCACACGATTTGCCCTTGTACTTCCAAGATTCATTGACGGACATCTGGTACGGCGGACTGTTGCATATCAATATGCAGTGGCGCTGTATATTGCCCTGCTCCATAATGTGGCGCTGTTCGCTGATATCGTCGAAACATCCATGGGCAGCAGCAAATCCCTCGGCCATGTGGGCATGCGATTCCATGCCGCCACCGACCAGCGGCAGACGTTCAATTGTCTCAATCACTTTCTGGGGCTGTACAAACGGGCCGTATGTGGTGCACACTGGCTCCAGGAGATTCGAGGCGGTGCGATATGTGACAATACCGTAGAGCGTCGCATAGCGTTCGGCAATCAGGAATTCGCGTTCATCAATGGAGCCCTGCGTAAAATGTTCCAGTGTGGGCAAAATGTAGTTGGTTTTCAGTTCGTTCAAGTAGGCTCCATTAATAGCACTGTTTTCTATTACGAACACCACATCGGCCAAAGTAAGCTGATCCACCTCCATGTTGTGTACGTTATAATATTAAAAACTATTAATTTAGCTGTCGTCTTTGCCCATATCGCCACTCTTTATGGCTTATCGGTATGCTTGGTGTATGTAATTGCAGAGATGCATTGCTAACGATAAGAAGCTAATGTGTATCGATATTTTACAGTTGGTTACTAGAGACGGGCAATTCTAAACAACGATATGGAAACTGCAATATATGCTAAATGCGACAAATTTAACTTTGCGGAAAAATACTTGCAGTTTGAAAAAAAGAAAACATTAAAAGCTTTTTTAAATGATATTATTCCTGTAAAAGTAAAATTAATTAAAATGAATTATAATTATTCAAACCCGATAGTTAATTGTCCATTCGCATAAACTATCGATAGAGTCGACGATATTTTCTGTTCATCTCTCTTTCGCGTTTATGTTTGTCAAAACAAAATTAAAAATTATAAAATTAATTTAATTATTGTATAATTAGCGTCTAATCCAAGCAAAATTTACAAAATGCAGTGTAAATAACGTCCCCATGTGTTTCTGTGTATGTGTGTCCTTATTTTATTGTGTGTAAAGTAAAGAACTTGTCTGAAAAATTCTACCCCGTGCAAGAAAAAATGGACATGTCCAAGTTTAATAACCAATGCACTTGTGCTGGCCTCCGCAGCTAAAGGCCACAAAACGTTAAAAATATAGGTATATTCGTAAAGCAGCCAATAAACAATAATGCTGCAATATAAAAACGCGAACGCAACCGTGGTCAATAACAATAGCAATGGACAAGCGGCCGCTGCCACGCCCGCCGCCTCCACAAAGGTAGCCACCAGTGCGGGTGCAGTCGGTGTTGGCAATGCGCCCACTGGCACGCCCGCACCACAAATGCAACAGATAATAAATATCCATCAGATGCCGTCGCAATTCATGCAAGCAGCACAGCTGCAGCAGGCTGGTGGTGCAACCACAGTGTCTGGCCTGCCCCAAAACATGTTTCAAATCGTTCAACCGATGGGCATGCAAACCGTGAATATTGACGGCCAGGAGGCCATCTTTATACCCAATCTGAATGCACAGCTGGCCACGGCACAGGCAGTGAACATTAATGGTCAGCAGGCGTTTATAACGCCCAATGGTCAAATAGTGCGGGCGCCGCAGGCGCTGCAAGCACACGATCCCGCCCAGACGCAGCTGTTTACGATACCCGGCACCAACATACAAATACCATTGGCAAACATTGTTCAGCAGCAGCAGCAGCCGCAGTTGCAGCAACAGCTGCAACAACAACAACAACAGCCGCAGCAGCCCCAACARTCCGCAACGCCCGCACTTCAAGCTCAGCAGCAACAGCAGCAGCAACAACAACAGTCGCAGCAGCAACAGCATAATCCCGGCACCAATATACAAATACCCGCCTCCGTGGCTGCCGCTAATGGGCTTCTGGGAAATATAACGAACCTGTTGGGCGCCGCCCCAACGACAATTAAACTGGAGAATGGTCAATCGCTGCAAAATATTCAACTGCGCACAGCGGCGCCTGGCTCTGCACCACAATTGCTGCAATTCCCACAGCCAGCGCCGGTGGCACCAACGCTGCAGCAAACCGTTGCTGTGCAGATACCTGTTCAAACGGCCAACGGTCAGACGATCTACCAGACTGTTCATGTGCCAGTGCAGGCGGCAGCAGCGCCAGCAACGGCTGCCACCCAACCCACGTTGTCCAATCTCACGCAATCCATTCAAGCGTTGCCTGCCTCCATGCAACAGGCGGCTGCACAAATGCAAATCATACCACAGTTTGCGCAAATTGCACAGATTGTCACGCCCAATGGACAAATACAGCAGGTGAGCGTCAAACTAGATCAGTAATAATAATCAGGCTAATTCATTAATATTTGTTTTTGCCATATTCAGGTACAGTTGGCCCCATTGAATGCGCTCAACTATTCGCAGTTGCCTCCGAATGCGAATATTATACACATACAGAATCCGCAGCAGCATCAGCAATTCATTCAGCCACAAGCTCAGCTGCAGCAGCAGCAACAACAGCAGCAGCAGCAGCAGCAGCAACAGCAACAGCAACACCAACAACAGGCGCAGCAGCTGCAACAGCAACAGCAAACGCAACAGCAACAGGCGGCTGCAGCAGCAGTTGCACTGCAGCAACAACATCAACAGCAACAGCAACAGCTGCTCAATGCCATYAACGAGGCGGGCGGACAATTGCCAGCGAATCAACCGATAACAATAACGAATGCACAAGGACAACAGTTGACAGTTATACCAGCACAGCAGCTGCAACAGTTGCAGCAACTGCGGGCCAGCCAAGCTGCCGCTGCAATGCAGCTGCAGTCGGGTAATTTGCAGGCATTGCCCATACAGAATATACCCGGCCTGGGGCAGGTGCAGATCATACAGGCGAATCAGTTGCCAGCAAATCTGGCGGCCAATTTCCAACAGGTGCTCACACAGCTGCCCATGCCCATGCAGACGACGACGGCAATGGGTAATCAGGCGCAGAGCATGCAGAGCACAACTGCGGCAACTCCCGCGCTGACCATGCTGCCCAAGCAGGAGCCACAGAGTCCCACCCAATTGATTACAAACATTAAGCAGGAGCCGCCAGACACCTGCAGTGTTACGACCATTTCAAATGCAACGCCCACAACTGTACAGCTGCCGGTGCAGCAGCAGCAGCAGCAACAGCAGCCACAGCAACAACAACAGCCGCAGCAGCAACAAATTAAATTCATAATGCCACAGTCGCCACAGCAACAGCAACAACAACAGCAGCAGCAACAACAGCTACAGCATTCTGATGGAAGCAATAGCAACTGTCTGCCCGCCGTAAGCATACCAGCCTCCATACAGATCACTGCCTTGCCACCACAGGCGACGCCAGCAACAATACGCACCACGCCGAAGCTGACCATGTCCAGCATTGGCAGCACCAGCACTAGCACACAAATAACCATGAGCTCGGCCGGTCAGGTGGTGGCAGTGACAACGCCGGCGCGTACCAAGTTGATGAAGCAAGCACTGCAATCGTCTGGGACGGCGGCGACCAGTGTCAATGTGAACATCAATGTGGGCGAGAGCATGGTGCAAGAGATCAAGCCACGGCTGAAGCGCGTCGCCTGTACCTGTCCCAACTGCACCGACGGGGAGAAGCATTCGGATCGCAAGCGGCAACACATATGTCACATACCCGGCTGCAGCAAGGTCTACGGCAAGACATCGCATCTGCGCGCCCATTTGCGCTGGCATACGGGCGAACGTCCGTTCGTTTGCTCCTGGGTATTTTGTGGCAAGCGCTTTACGCGCTCAGATGAACTGCAGCGCCACCGGCGCACGCACACGGGCGAGAAGCGTTTCCAGTGCCGCGAGTGCAACAAGAAGTTCATGCGCAGCGATCACCTGTCCAAGCACATCAAGACGCACTTCAAGACGCGCTCGGGCGTTGACCTCATCGAACTGAACATCAAGCAGGAGCCGAAAATGAATGCACCCAAAAGTATTAACACGGTGAGCGGCATTGTGACCATTGAGTTGCCAACGAGCGGTGCACCGGCCAATGGCAGCGGCGCCTCCAGTGTGGCGGCAACAGTTGCGGGCTCAACTGTGACAGCAGCGCCAGGCGGTGCCACAATAGTCCAGCTGTCCACATTGGGCGGTGACGATGTGGTTGGTGGTGCGTCCACTGATAGTTTTGGTGAAGACGATGAAATGGAAGATGAGGAATTGACCGAAGAGGACGATGAGGAACTAACGGAGGAGGAGGAGGACGACGAGGAGGACAGCGGCGATGAGGAGAAGATGCACATCTCTGTGAGCGAGCTGGGCGAAAACTCATCCAACTAGCATACGGAATCACTGTTCATGGAACAGTTCATCTTTGATCACTTCCCATAACCGTAGCTGGTCCCGGAAACGGGGCTGCTAAATCTATTGCAACCTGTACAGTTAATACCCAACAATTACGACTATTAGGCTTAATTGTATTTATGTTGTGTTTATGTAAATCTTTGTACATAATTCCGTTGACGAATAAGTTATCCTTCGGCATGCCGAAGTCCATTACAAATCCTTGCACTGCTCCTGAGATAATCATGCTAGCAATCCCATTTTGGGTTATCCCTAATTCCCAATAGAACTGGCAACACAATTTTGTATATATCGTAAGTGTAAATATATATGTTTTGTAACAAAAATATGTTCATATCATAAGCATAAAGTAAAAATAATAATTGACAATTTTTATGGCCCAAAACTAAGAACAACTATTAATCCACTGCAAGGATATTAATTTTAATTTCGTAACACACATTTATATATATTTATGCATAAGTTTTTATTGTACAATTGGTAAATAGAATACAGAATATTTAAGAACACGCTCGATTTTAACTAGGATAATGCATTGAAATAAATAAATATATATGTATGTATATGTATATTATATAATGTATGACGTTTTAAGGAAATTTTTATACTCAAAACGCACAATAACATATTCCTGGGAATGATTATAAATAAATATCTCCTAAGATTTTTGGAAACTTCAACAAATTTGGTTAACTTATTGTAATTAATTTACAGAAATGGTTCGGTACATTGAGATTGAGGCTGAGGCTGAGTTTGGGTGGACGTGGCCGGAACCTGGGTATTGAAGTTGTCATAATTCTCGGAATTCGAGATTATGGGTTGGCTATCAGTTGGCAAATCAAACTCCAGCGTGCCAATGGTCATGGATTCTGTATTGATTTGTGCAGCAGCGTGGACCCAATCTGTGTCTGGTCCAAGATCTGGCATACTTAAACTCTCCACCATCTCTGAAGCTGATATATTTTCCGCTGCTGGGGATTCTTCAATAACCCACATTTCCGGACCATTTGTTAAAATCCCTAGCGTAGATTCGGTGTTTTGAGAATCCAAAGTAGCTGGAAATTTCATCAATTGCAATTCTACTGATTGTTGCTGGCTGTTAGACTGCGATTGATTGGTTACTTGCGCCGGCAACAGAGATGGACTCAAATGGCTGCAATCGAGCACGGCCTCTTGCGTAGATTCCAAATTCCAGCGATTAAGTCTACGATTGTTCTCCTTCTTCAGTTGGCAACGTCTAATATAGTTACACTTTTCTATCTCCTCTTCGGTGTAAGGTAATACCATTTTCTTGGTCACTGCCTTCACAAGCATCGCATTGATGAAACGCTCCGAGCGGTTGACTAGGCGTCCTTTTTTATCCAGGCGTCGCTTTGCATCCCACACACAGTTGAAGAGCGTCATATTAACACGAACTTTAGTGCGTAAACATAGTTTCATTTCATCGGAATCACTGTATTCGCGAGACAAATCCTCACTTGTTATTTTCTGCAATTAACAAATGGTAGAGAATTTCGTCCACACTAAATTGACTCATTTATTTTTGTACTTACAAGTGGTTCATACAATTCGCGCACTAGTGATTTGCTAGGCTCATCCAATTCATCCGCTATGCTTAAGATTTTGGCCTCCTCGGCCGTTTGATATTTTATTAGAGCTTCAGTCAAACAACGCGCCATTCTAGCTTTCGGTTTGTTAAAACTAATGGAATATAGTTGCTTAGAATTTGTATTAGACAGTGTAGCCATAGGGTGTCTGTAGTAAAATACTAATAAAAATTAAAATACTAAAATACTAAAACGTCAAAACGTAACTTAAAAAAGAGTTGCCTTTGAACCGAAAACAGCTAAATGTCAACAATTTTAAATTATATTAATTGTCGTTTTTTAATTTATTCTCGAAATTTCCTACTTTATTTAGATTCTTATCTATCTGAATTGTTATCTAAAGAAAATGTCTGCTTTCATGCTTATAGAACTTTCGAGAGAGGCCTTTACAAAGACAAGCTTGCTAAACTTGCTCGCCTGGATTTAGTGTTGGAAAGAAGAGATCTTCTGTTTGTCATAAAAGCCGCTTCTGTGTCGAAGTAGGATGATTACATGAGCTACATATGTACATACATATATATATCGTTGTATCACCTAATCTATGTACATCCGAAAACATATTCGTAATCATTACTTCATTGCTTACGCATGCAATAAAAAAATAAACAAATAAATAAATGATAAACTAAGTGTAATTAAAGTGTATGCATGTTAATATGGAATAAATATGAAACAAATAGTTTTAATAATATAATGATGCCATTAATTTTTAAGTTCATCATTGATTATGTTAGCTTCATGTTAAACAGAATAGAAATTAATATTAAGAGCTTTAACTTGATGTTTTATTTGGACTACAGGATCTTTAATGCTTTGTATATTTTTCTTCAGTGTGACCAGCATTTTTCAATATGATCAATTTATGAGCTACAGATTTTAAGAGTCGCGATCAAATAAATATGTTAATACTGCAATTTCGCGTTTTTCTGCTTCTTCGTTTTGGTCACATAGTGTAAAAGAGCGTGTGCAAGAGATATACGAAAAGAGAAAAGTTTGTCGCAGCTAAGTCACGAATATAAAGAAAAATAGTTTGCCAGCAAAAGAAAGAATATTATTTTTAAAACAACCATATAAAGTGGCTGAAAAAGCACATAAAAAATTTAATTGTGTTTGTATGTATACATATGCATGGTGCATCTTTCCGTAACTTTGTGCATGTGTGTGTGTGTATATGTTTTTTGAGTGTTTATACGTGCTTGTTTTGTTTTGATTAAATCAGTTTGTTGTAAATTATTTGTGTAAATAAAAAATATTTGAAATATCTTTCAAAATCGTTATTGTTAAATATTAAATTTAATGTATAGTTATATCTAATTTCTTCCCATTTGCAATATACATATACTCTGCGGACAATAAGTGGCAACTCCAAGCCAACATGTATACAAAAACAAGAAGCGACTATGAAAACGAATCGCACAATAAATAAATGGAAGGCAAACGCGCAAAAAAGAAAAAGCGACCCAAAACGAGAAAGAGAATAAGCAATTTCGTCGCTTTTGTACAAAATTTATAGTTTCGCGCATTTCAGTCAACAACAACATTTGTACAAATACACCAAAGAACAAGAATAACAACAAAAAACTAAAAAAAAAGGAAAAATCAACCGTTTAGTATTCAAAATTGTTTGGTAATTCAATGAGAAGGCGCGAGTGAAGAGGCGGCAAGAAATAAAACTCAATTAACAGAACTGAGCAAGATAGAACTAACATAAGAATATAAATAATAGGTAAAGAGTGCTGGGTATATTTAACATTAATTCGCGTCTCCTTCACTACCCCGCTCAAAATCTGCAGCCTTTTTACCTAAAACGCGATGTGTACATTATACAGATTTGTATGTATGTAAATATGTACATAATACATATATGTATTTATGTATATATACATAAAGCTTTGCCGCCTTAACCTAGCTGCAATTTGCATTGAAATCGTATTTATCCATTGCCTTCACCACCAAAAGACATTTGAATTGTTTCTTAGCACTACATAAATACATACTAATGCATATCTTGATGTGTGTATGTATGTATTTATATACATAGATAAAAATTGATATCAATTTTGCGCGCGCGCTTGCAAAATCGTATAAGAATTTTTTTTTTTACTTTGCCTTTTGTTCTTAAACATCTGTGTATGATTTTTGTTTGCGAATGTTTGTCTGTGTTTTCGTTTACTAATACAAATAATAATTCAATCACTTTGTTAATATTTTGCAGAGACGCTTAAATCATCAGGCGGTTATTATGAAAGGTTATGATTTGTTTCAACATCCTTCCTCTACATTCATAAAAAAAAAACAGTAAAACATTTATCTTTGGATTACCGAAGATTAAATACCCTTGCAGATGTGTGAACGGCCTTCAACTAAGTGTTGTAAATAATTGAATTGAAACCAACTACATATCGTCGAAGGGCATATGATTCATCGTAACTCAGTTAATAGGAAAAATGTGGGGGTCTGATAAGAAAAATCAAATAGTAATATATTAATGTTGATGGCCACTTGGTTTGCTTTTGTCCGATAATTTAGTCTGATAAATCTACCAAAAGATCTATAATTAAGAGACTCAGCTCCCATTAAGAACATGTATCACTTGATGTATTGCTCACACAATGACGAATGCACTTTCTGCAAGGGAAATGCAATGATTTAACAAATTATATATATATGTGCATATGCAAACATATATGTACGTAATTTTTGTTGCCGTTGCCGTTGCCGTTGCCTAGCCGGGTTTTGTCTCCTAACATGAGCCCTAACTTGCTAAAATGAAACCAAAACAAAAACAACAACAGCCATAGCGCAACTTCCCCTAACCAACAAGTGTCAAAAATAACTGACGGTGTTTCTCCACTATTCAGGAACAGGGAATTACTATAAAATGTCTCGTAACAAAGACAAATATGACAGCACGAATAGACGGCAGCAGATATTTCTGTCTGCCGAGGATATTGCCGCTGGGAAGAAGACAAATTGGACTGGGCTCGAAATAACGGGTATGTAAAATTGTTAAAAAAAAAAAATAAAACAAACATTTAATAATCATTTCATTATTAATAATCCTTTGTTAATTGCTTTCAGGCTGCGTGCGAAATATCAGTCCCACTTTGTGGGAGTTTGAGCATCTGACAGCCCTCTATCTGAATGACAACCAGCTGCTTCGACTGCCAGCGGATGTGGGCATGTTGGTTAATCTGCGAACACTTGACTTGTCCAGCAACAAGTTACGCAGTCTGCCCGCTGAGCTGGGCGAGCTCATACAGCTGAGGTGGGATAGCTTCATCCACATTTCATATAATATTAGTAAATGCTAATCTAATTTGATTCGTTTATATTTCCAGAGAGCTGTTATTGAACAATAACTTTTTGCGTGTGCTGCCATATGAAATTGGCAAGCTGTTTCATCTGGTCATCCTCGGTCTGATGGGCAATCCGCTGCAAAAGGAGTTCATGAATATCTATAATGAGCCAAATGGAACGACAAAATTGTTGAATCACATGCTGGACAATTTATCATGTGAGTGCTGCTATTTCTATATATTGAAAAATGTATTTGTGTGGGTGTGTGTGTGAGTGAGTTAGTGAATGTGCGACCTCCTGTCTGTGTGTATGCGAGCATATGGGCAAAAAGGAAAGTTACAAAAGGCTCGTGAAAAGAGAAAGTTCTCATGTGTTGTAAATGTCGATATATATTTTTTGTGAATACCCTTACAGACAGTATTACGACTGAGTAATAAAATTTGCAACTCATTAAAGGACAGATTCGTTTATAAATACATATATAATCTTGATTCAGAATGACGAATTAAGTTGAGGCTCTTTTGTTAAATGCATTAAGCAACAAATTTGCTTAACTTCGTTACAGTCATTTAGTGTAGAGGTGTTTAGGTGAATAAGTTTTAAACAAATTAATGATATAATCTAAATTGGCTGCACCACTTTAAGCAATATACATAACTTATAAATAGTTAGCAATACAGTGTCATGTTATTTCCATTGAAACTGAACCGAACATATCATTTACTGTATATACAAATAATGCTTTGTACAGAACCAAAACATATGCCCATTGTTTGTTTTTATTCTTCCCCCAAAAATATACAGATATCATTTGCGCTTTTATTGCGAGGGCATATGTTTATAATTGCCTATTATGTTGTAGATCAATTAAACATTTAGTCATATGTACGGATAATTTTTGTCAACGTATTGCTATTTTCGTGCTAGAGTATTTAATTATCGGCACATCGATCATATTTTCTTTTTCTGTAATGCAAGCCATGGTTGACAGGATGGCTAAAAGCGCAACCGGTTTGCGATCGCTCAATTGGGCAATTAAAGTTCAAACTCATGGCTTTTTCTTAATAATAATGGCAATAGCATAAGCATGAGGCAGACATCAATTATAATTTAATTGAATGTAAGCGCCAAAATCATATGCAACGCAACTAACATACAACACCACCAATGGCAACACAAAAGCAACACTGCATGACCTCGACATGCAAAGCTGCTGGACGTTGGCCCGAGCTGCAGCAACAGCAGCTTTACAGAGTGAGAGAGAGAAAGAGAGTGTGAGCTTAAAAGAGAGTAAGCGCCAAAGATTGTGTGTGTATGTGTGAGAGTAACCGATAGGGAGAGTGAGAGCGTAAGCGCGGGCATAACGGCTTCAAGTGCGTTTACTGTTAGGCCGGCAAAGCTCGTGCACGAATGAAATTGAATTCACTGGCTTCAGTCTGCCACAAGCTTGGCTCGCGAGCGGACGCTTCAAGTCTGTAGTTGAGCGTAGTCGAAACGAGTTTATTAACTGTCGCGCCGTCTCGTCTTGTCTCGCTCCCGTCGCTGGCTGCGTCTGCGCCAAGTGTTTCGTAATTTCGACAACAGCAACAGCGGCAACAGTTGCTGCTGGCTGGGCGATCAACAGTTGTGCCAGTTTCTTTTATGCAGTTCACTTTTCATACGCTTTTCATTTCGTGCGAATTTTCGTTGCCGCGTGTGGAAATGTTTTTCGCAATGGCCGTCTGCATGCATTGAAGTGTTGAAATTGCAAACGCGGCCAAGTGATGTGCGATACGCACGGTAGACCAGGACAACTGACGCAGCTACCAAGTGAGATACG